CAAATCACCGCCAAGCTATGCAAACCTCTGGATAGCCACAAATCCGTCATTGTTTTGAAATGTGCATTATTTCATCAAGGAGGCCCTCCCTGAGTTCAGGTCATCTTCCCCCGAGACCGTCAGGCCTCCATCGTCCAGTAGGTCAGGAGTAATTTAGTGCTGATAATAGTCACAACAGAGGAGACTGACTGCTCCAGTTTTACAAAAGAAGTTACAGTGACTGAGTGGGATGTAACCATGGGGGTAAACGGAGTGAAAAGTTCATGGGACCTGTCTGCACTATCTTCCTATGAATCTATAATTATTTCAAAAGAGACAAGCACAGCAGACCCCATGGAGGGGAGAGGGCGCCCCTCTCTTGCTAGAGCTCCCCTTACGTGGGCTGCAGCCACAGTGAGCTCTCTGGTCCCGCTCATGCCTGTGCTGTCCTCCGTAAAATGTTGCACTTCTCCAAAATCCGAGTAAGCCTTTGAAGTGAGTCACACCGCACTCTAGACAGAGGGCTCACATCTTTGTCCTGTTCTCCTCTTTAGCTCCTGAACGGGGAGCTGAAGCAGCTGTACACGGCCATCACCCGGGCTCGGGTCAACCTCTGGATCTTTGACGAAAACCCAGAGAAGCGGGCTCCTGCTTTCAAATACTTCATGCGAAGGGATTTCGTCAAAGTTGTGAAAACAGATGAAAATAAAGGTCAGATGTCATGAAAATATTCTGGTTGTCAGATAGAAAGCATGTTACTCTCAGCCGCTCTAGGATCAGGTATAAAAGGGATAGTTTTTTGAAAGCACTATTCTGTCCACATTCTTCTGAAAAATGAGAATTTGTATTTGTCACTAAGGTGTGTGGGAGGCAGAGGTGGAAATGGGATTGGGAGGGTTAACTCCTTCAGGGAAGGTCTTTTATCTGTCCTTTGAAGGGGAGCATCCTGGACAAGGTTAGAGAGAAGAGGCTGTGTTGTGGGGAGGCAAAGTGGTGTGGGCTGTTGGACAGCTGATAGGTAATACCTATCCGGATAAAAAATGTACGTGCCTTTTGACCCAGTAATTCCACTTCTAGGAATCTATCCAGAGATACTAGAGTATTATGAAGGATACTATCCAGAGTATTTCAAGGACGTATCTCAAGGAGACGTGCACGAGAGGGTTCACAGCCCTGTTTGTAATTATGAGAAACTAAAAACGACCTAAGTGTTCATCAAGGTGCAGCTGTTTGCAGAGACTCCTCTGGTGCCGGGACGGACAGGGTGTGGGGTTGCTGATGAGATGTGGGCACTTTATACCCTCCTGTGCTGTTTGCCGAGTTTCAAAAAAAAACACCCAACATCATCATGAACTGTTTTCATAATTTGCAAAGGCTAGCTAATGAAAAAGTGGAATGACGTTCTCCTGATAGGATAACTAGGGGAGAAATAATCAGCTCTCATGAAGGAGATAACTGTTCTCTTTCTCGTGGGTTGGCAGTGCGTTGGCTCCTCCAGGCCACGGTGAATTTCTCCAAGGATGAGGGGAAAGCTCAGGGCTCGGCGGCTGCAAAGAGGTTTACTGGTTTCCTGAGCGTTTTCCAGCCAGTTTTAAGGAGGCTATTTCTGGTTACAGCCAATGGCGCAGCCAGGGACCAAGATCAGATATTCTGTTCCTGGGACCTGACTGTATGGGCATAATGGGAAAAGTCAAAGTCTTGTGTTAACCGGGCTTCTCATTAGAACTCTCCACCTGTGCAACCACAGGGCGTCATTCAGGGCCCACTTTCTTTCCCTGGGCCTCCCCTTCCTCGTCTAAGAGGAAAACGAGGGGGTGGCCTCCCGAGCTTGTTCTCATTCTTTCCTGCTGCTCAAACCCGTTTTATTCTTGAACTAGGTTCTGGCACTCGTTATAAAAGGTCACCAAGCTAAGCAGTTTTTGTTTTTTTAATTAAAAAGTCACAATGGGAAAAAACCCAAATTTCTTCTGTATAGCACAGGGAACCTATTCAATATCTTCATATTGAATATGACGAGAATCTTCAATATCTTGTAATAACCTTTAATGAAAAAGAATATGAAAACAAATATATGTATATATACGCATGACTGGGACACTGTACTGTGCACCAGATATTGACACATTGTAACTGACTGTACTTAAGTTTAAAAAAAATGTAAATTTTTTTAAGTCATAATTAAAAAGGATTATAATTTGTTTTCTCTCTTGGTTGCATTAAGAATATAAGAGGGTACTTGCTTAGCATGCACGAGGTCCTGGGTTCAACCCCCAGTACCTCCATTGAAATAAATAAGTAAATCTAATTACCTCCCCCACAAAAAACAGCAACAACAAAAAGACACAAGAAAAAGTACAGTGGTAATTGTGAGTCATGAGTTGCACAGGGTAAAGTCTTTGAGGACATCTGTTTCCATGGGGAACTTGGGGTGCGTGGAGTGACTATGTCATTGAGGGTTTCTTCCATGTAGCACCAGCAAAGGTCACTGACCTGAGGCAGAGATACTTTGGGGCTTCGCTGTGGGAATAACGTGTTACCAGGGCACTCAGTGCACATGGTGTCAGAACAAGATGGTGCGAAGTCAGTTTTGCACGCAGAGGTGGTGGAGAGCCAGCAGGGAGGGTCAGGTTGCAAGGATTCGTGTGTGTTTCTGCACCTTCTAAACAAAGCTGGCGTGTCTGCCTGGCTCCTCCAGTTGGCAACCCTTGGCCTGGGTATCTCTGATTTGGCATCTGTGTTGTCTCGATACTCAGTCTTTCAGGTGTTTCATGAAGCTGTGACTCAGAATCTGCAGGGAGTGTCACCACTGCTGATGACACTTAGAGGGTCTCAGGAGGGCAGGCCAGTACAGTCACCGCGGGTTGGTGAGAATAGCAGACGGACCAGCAGCAGGTGGTTGTCGTGGTCTGTGTCCACCAACCAGAATGTGTCAGATTGCTTCCTGCAAGGAGGACAAAGTCTGCACATTTGGAAATTCTGTAAAATTTTATCACCTTGTCCCTTGCTAAGGCCCTGGCATGGGAGTTTGTCAAGAGCTACATGGCTTTGGGTTTTCAAGGAGGAATTAGAACTTGGTCTGTCTTCTAACTCATAGCCGTACAAAAGTAGACCAAAGCTCAAAAACCAAATGGCATCCTTTCTCATACCCACCTCCTCCTTCCAAAATGCACCAGAACCTGGCTGGATAAGCTCACCTCTATCTTACATGAATACGAGACAGACAACACAGATGTGTTCTCGGGCTGCCAAACAAAGACTGGGTGGCTTACGTAACAGAAGTTATTGTCTCACAGTTCTGGAGGCTGGAAGTCCAAGATCAAGGTGCTGGTGGTTTGGTTTCTTCTCACGCCTATCTCCCTGGCTGTAATGATGTGTATGTGTTAAATTCCTCTTCTTATAAGGACGCCAGTCTGATTGGATTAGGGTCCACGTAACGGCCATGTTTTAACTTGATAATCTCTTTAAAGACCCTGTCTCCAAACACAGTTGTGTTCGGAGGGACTTGGGGGTTAGGGTTCAAAACTTGAGAAATTTTGTTGAGGCAGGGGTAACAAAATTCAGCCCCTAGCAACAGGTTTAAGTGAAGGATGCTCAGAGAGGCAAACCCACGTTTCTTTTTCATTTTAGACCTTGATGATAGCATGTTCGTTAAGACCTCAACCCCTGCAGAATGGATCGCACAAGGAGATTACTACGCTAAACACCAGTGCTGGAAGGTAAGGGGTGAGGTCTGTCTGCCCCGTGGCCTCATCAGGCCTCCCAGGTAGGGTTCTCATCATGGCATGTGTCACCAGGATGGGACAGGGGTCACAGTGCTTGTGCTGCTGCTGCTTCTGAAACATCCGGGCCTGTCCCCTGTATCCCAGGAAGCTGTCATCATCCTGCATTGTTTTTTGTGATGAT